AAAGAAATCATTTATTTTAGTATTGTAGGACTTTTAGTATTGTAGGACTGCTTTCTAAAGAAATCAGTCCTACAATATTAAAATAAAGAAATCAGTTCTACTATACTAAAATAAAGAAATCAGTCCTACAATACTAAAATAAAGAAATCAGTCCTACAATACTGGAAATAAAGAAATAGTCCTACAATACTGGAAATAAAGAAAGCATTCCTACAGTATTAAAATATAGTAGTCGACAAATAATTTTATTTCTATCCATATTTCTAATAAATGGACAGTTTTTTTCACATATTTTAGTGCAAAGCTAATCAATGAGTTAGCGGGAAATCGAATCCTGGATTTTATCGTCGCAAGTCTGTAAGCTCACCCACCGGTTGACTAAATGAACATAGTTTACTTACAAATTTATATATTTTCCACATGTTTACTAGCGGTTCATAAACAATATGATTCATTGATCTACTGTTTTTATCTTAGCTATTACAAACTATCATTAGAAGCTGATCACAATGATTCTTGATACAACAATGTAGGAAATAACATAACGAAGTAATTTCTTATATATATATTTATCTATAAGATACACCATTTGTGACATAACTGTCTTTAATTTACTCTTAGGTTTCCATCCTATATGTCCCATGCTTGCTAAGTATGCTTACTGTGGAGCTTATTTTACTTGTTAAGGTCATGCTTTTAAAACAATGAACTTTCTTAAGCTGTATATTATTAAGTTAGATGTACATTTTATATTTTATATTTAGCAATAGGATTTGCAATCTTATCTTCAATTTTGTTGTTGTTGTTCATTTTACTAGTTTTTAACAAAAGGCGTGGCATGGAATGTCGACCTAAGAAGAAACGTAAATATTTTTAGTAATTATCTAGCCTAAATAACCTATTATTTTCCCGTTTATATATACCACAATGGTTAGTGTTCCGGGCTGAGGATCACAGGGACCAATATTCGTGATATGATGCCATTCAATACGTTTCACGCTTTTACTTGTGAGCGCGTTATAAAGGTATCTGTCAATTCTGCTATTCAGTTTAAAGTCCTTGAAGCGATGGGTAATCCTGGTTGGCTGTCCTCTTATTGTGGATGGCTATGTCTGAATCCCAGAGGGTGTTGAACCAAGAATAAATTGCCGTTAGAGTAAACAAAAATAATTCAATTTATTTTCTTATTCAGGAGCAAATTCCTTTCCACAACTTGTTGAAGAGTGTGAAGCTGTAAGTAGTTTGTAGGTGGAATATTAATGTGTTACTTCAAAACTAAATCCTTGTTACATACGACAGACAACGTGTAAGTACGCTTTCTACCCTTACACCCACCAAGACTTTCTTGTAGTTTTCTGTCTCTTCATTGTGTGCCAGCCCCCTAGCGGTAAGTCTACGAACTTAAACCGCTAAAATCTGGGGTTCGAATCTCCGAGGTGAACACAGAGGATAGCCCAATGTGGCTTTTACTCTAATACAAACAATAGTGATATTTTCTCACACGATGGTAGATTAGAGAGTGCTTTTTGCCAAATAAAGGATCTGAAACTAAACAGACTATAGATGCAATTTGTGTATGTGTGTGTGTATTTTCATAGCAAAGCCACATTGGGCTGTTTGCTGCGTCCACCGAGGGGAATCGAACCCCTGATTTTATCGCTGAGAATCCGTAGACTTCACCGCGGGACAGATGCAATATAATTTGATGGGAAACTTTTAAACTCTGAGCTATTACAAAATGTATAAAAGTCACCAAGATAATAACATAAGTTTTTCGATATTAAGAGTGTACAATAGCACTGGTGATCTATGTCGCCATGATGGTAAAAATGTCAAAGACGGACGGTATTAGGCCTAGTTGTGTGTTTAAAGAAAACGTATTAAAAATATAAATATAAAAGAATGATGCTAGGAACTGAATTAATGCACGCCACTTTGACTTTCTAGGCTACAGACAAAGAGATGGTCAGTCATACTTTATCAGATCATCACATCAGTACGATAAGCATTTATCAAACAAGTACAACGACTCATGATGTCCTATGCAGCTTGAACGTCAAGACGATTTTATTTTTAGCTCCACGTGCTTACTGACCTGGAATTATTATCTATAAACCGAGCAAAAACCATGTTTATATCATGATCTCTCTCATAGTTATCTTTCGTCTTGACTATGTCAACAGTGTGAAAATGCGACTTTTTGTCTCCACTGCTGATTTCAAAAGATTATACAACCTACACTTTCAAAACATGGCTATGATTAAGAACACAGATAGATAGATAGCTTTTTTTTTTTTACTTTTTGAAAATAACCAAACCAGTTTTCACAAATTTTCACAAACAGTTGTTACAACAAGAAAAGAACATATTCATCCATTACACTATTACGCATAACCGTTATATTAATATATACATTACACATCCATTACACTATTACGCATAACCGTTATATTAATATATACATTTAATATCTATGAACAATGTTACATACTCACACATATTTAAAATAGATGATATATTTAAATAACGATTTATTTTGTCCATAATTACCAATATCAAACCGATAATTATAAAATGTTGGACGGATAATTTTAGATACTTTTGTTCAAACAATTAAACTAGTTACTTAATCAGGCAGGTGGCAGCACTGTCTATGTAAGGATGGCTCGGATTTTTCATCGAAATGCTGTTTTAAATATCTTCTCAATAGGTCATCACAACTTTACAATACTATACAGTTTTACCTTTTATAACAATGTCTATGTAATATCTGAGTCACAAGTTCTGGTAATGTCTGTAAATATCATATCAAAAAGTTTGAATTTCTCGTTCTTCTTTCTTCTGCTTTTTTATTACACGATAACTCAAAAAACCAATACAACTATGCTAACCAATTTCACTGAGGTGACATAGTTTCAAACGGAGTATCTGCTTTTATAAGTATTATTAATAACTAGTAGTAATTTAAAAAATCATAATTCTAGCGTAAACGATGGTATCATTACCCCTTGAAGTTAGCTATTTCACAGTACATGGTGAAACAGGAATTACCAACCAATACACACACGTGTGTGTTCTTAGATAAATTGGATGTATAGAAAATAGTATGCTGGCATTAACATCTAGAGAATTCAGCCACTGGTACATTGTAATGGAATTATTGTTTTAAGAATCGTTTTTTATACTGATTTTCTCAGTTAAAGATTTGAGAACATTTGATTCTCTTTGCCGCTGTATTACTGTCAACAAAATACAGTTTAATGATTTCAGTTTCCTATAGAACTTTCAATAAGTGATTGGTTTTCGATTATTTTAAAATTATAATTCACTTTCACGAGAAACTAATACGATAATATAGACAACAGACAACAGACTGTTGCGAGGAGAGGAAATCACATAAAGGACGACAATTCTGTTGATGATGGCCACGCAAGTGGTCGTAACTTTGTAATTAAGTTAAACAAAGGAAAAATAATCCACTCAAAAGCTATTTCTCTAGGCTTTTATTTAACAGTCAGATATGTCATTATAATCCGTTAATATCAAATTACATAAGAATGATTCTACTCTTAGGCCTAGGCTTTTATCATGTTAGGCTTAGCTCATACATTTAAGCGTTTCATTATTTTGATGTATTAGTTTTGTGTTTTTAATTCATTTCATTGTTTTCAAAATAGGTTATCAGATATTCAAGTGTACAATATCCACCAAGGGACTATTTCAATGTTTTATTTATTATTATTATTATTATTGTCTAACTGTCTAAAACAGAAGGAGTTAAACTCGATCAAATAAATAAGTTACGTTTTATAACTAATCTTACAAACACTTGAACTAGTAATTTTACATTAGTGACACAAATACAATAAAAAATTTGACCTCCTCACATCGTCCCCTGTGTAATTTCTTGGTAACATGAATGGAATACAGAATACTGAATTTTGTCGGAAGCTCATTAGAATGTTGTTACAAATACCAACGATAATTGATTCCTGTATTCTTATAGCATCATTTCTATCTACAATTAAAAATAATACACATTGACTTCACGTAATTTTGAGCATCTTTAATACAAAATACAGGAATTAAGTTAATATTGAATACTTTTCTTAATTGTTAATTTGTTTTTTCATTAGCTAGGCGATGAGCTGCTTGAAGCCAGAGGATCCCGATCGCCGAGCTAGTAAGGATCTCGATAAAAGAATAGCCCAGTGGATGAAGGAGTACGATAAGGCCATCAAACTACTTCTTTTAGGTAAGTAAATATCTGGGTTAGAGTCCTGTACGTCTTGAAGGATTTCAGAATTTCGCGAAAACCTGCACAAAGTCTATTGACGCTAGCCGTCCCTACTTTGGAAGTTATAGAGTAGACTTTAGACTATTGTACTAGAACAACACTCATATAGAGCACCCGCTGCTCCTAAAGATGGGGCGCGTTTTTCTGTGACAACGGGTCTTGAACCATGAATCATCGTATTCACAATTCGGACACTCTAACCGCTGGGCCACGCATGGCTCTTCGTTGAAGAAAGAGCGACATCGAGGAGGTTTATGCCCCTTCATTTGATATTTTTCTGTTCTTATTTTACCTGCGACATCGAGGAGGTTTATGCCCCTTCATTTGATATTTTTCTGTTCTTATTTTACCTGCGACATCGAGGAGGTTTATGCCCCTTCATTTGATATTTTTCTGTTCTTATTTTACCTGCTTGACAGATTTATGTTTGTTTTGTCGGTCTTGTTTGTTTGTTTGTTATGGTACTTCACCATCATTCTTATAGCACACCCACAGTTCCAATGTGAGAAGCGCGATGTTTGTTTTAGCCGGTACCTCAGCTCCACAGTCGGGCAACAATGACAACATTTTTAATAAAGTGTTAGGATGGACAACTTTCTTCCTTACAAATCCGTTTGATGATTTCTGATAACCCTTTACAGGTTTTTCCAAATTTGTAATATTTCACGGAAATGGTTTAAAAAAAAAAAGAGTAGCGCAAGTTTTTTATGTGTTATCTTTCTCATAAACTAAAAAGGTGATAGAAAAGAGGGTTTTCATGATAACATGTTTAGTTTTAACCATATATAATGACAGTGAAATACAGATTTTTTGTCAGAACATTTGTAGTCAAATTTTTTTCCGGTGTTAAGTAGCTTCAGCTTCCCTTAACTTAATGGGAAGGGGGATGAAACATATAATAGGGCCAAATCTATAATTACATTAAATAGCAGCATTATATTGGAGGAGCTAACGACATTTCAGGGGGTCGTTCCCCCTCTTCCTGCTAGCGCCGACCCTCAGTAGTACCTCCCAGTGGCACAGCTGTATGTCTGCGGACTTACAACGCTAGAAACCGGGTTTCGATACCCGTGGTGGG